CTGCCTTTGTCTGTGTGTACATAAACCAGGGAAAAGCTCTGGTTTCTGCACACCAGTAGTCAGGACTCTTGGAAAACAGCTATTCCAGTCGTTTGTACACGTAAGCTATTGCTTACATTCTTCTTCTATAATTATATTGCTATAGAGACAGCTTTTTAAGATGTTGAGAATTTTGGAAGCATTTATAAACCAAGCCAGCATATTTATAAACAAAGCTTTTTATTAATAAAATGTTTACACCTTTTTTTTTTGCACAATACATCAGACTGGTAGTGATTTAGCATGTTATTACACTATAAAAGTTTATTATGAATGCTTAGGCTGAAAAGGCTGTTTACATTATATCAAATCAACATTTTTTTTATTTGCATTCTATGCACTATATGGGAGTGTAACAATTCAAACAAAAAGGAGAGAACAAAAGCCTGGTTTTCCTCATTAGCATCTACAAACCAACAATACAGACAAACCTGTACACRCTCTCAGGACCAGCCCAAGAGAAGACTAAAAATAAAAGTCTCAAAACATTCATAAGCTTGGGAATTCATCACTACAATATTTCATCACTAGTAATCTGACTACACTTCATGCAGTGAAGCAATGGTTGGAAATTTGTGCAGTTTACAGTGCTGCAAATGCTCTGTAACTTTGAGCGGCTTAAAGTTTGTTTTAGTAAGAGATAATATAGTAAGAAGGCACAGACCTTTCAACCCTTGTAACAGGTTAACCCCATCCTAGAATGAAAAGGCAGAATGTTGTTATGAGTGACAATTGCTGATAAAAAGGTTAACCTCCACACCTAATTTTACAGGCAAACATTTACTACACTGCAAGAGYTCTATGCATATCAGGTTATTTTTGTGTCCTGAACACACAACTGCAATTTCTCATTCAGAAAAAAACTTTTTTCTTCATTGTCCTCGGTGGGGGGGATACAAGTGGGAAGATTGCCAGGAGTCTTAAATGTCTTAGCTACAGAAATGCAATCCATTTCTATGCCTTAAATCAATTAMTTCACTGTCACAGTGTCAGTACAGAAATACAAGAAAGAAAGTTAAAATACAGAATAGTTGACTGGAGGCTTAGATCAATCTGCTCCTCCAGGTGAAYGCGCTTTTAGCCTTCACTATGTGGTAAAATACAGTCATGGCACAGGTCTCAGCTGCTCTAACAGTTTCATTAAGGCTGTGCTAATGAATTACCATTTTACTTGCAAATATTTGCTGCTGTGACAGATACTTCTAGAACTTTGTGGCAAAAAAGACACTCACCACCTATTGTTGTCTAAATCCCGTAAGGAAACAAAGAACAAATTGCCAAGGAAACATAATGGATTTAATAGGAAATACATACTGTAACACCATAAAAGTGAGGCAAGATAGTAGCAGTGAATCTATCAAGGTGTCAGAGTTACAGAATATTCAAGTGCAACAACTGGATGGAATCTCACACCCACAGTGATGAAGAACATGACAGAAGAGTGGTCTGTGTCCTTCCGCTTTTGAAAAAGGAGTAACAGTTGGTTTGTTCAATCATATGTATGTGAAAACATCAACAGSAATCAAGTAAATAAAATTCCAACCTTCTTCAAAGAAGAAAACCTTTACAAAAGTAATTTGCTCCTTAAATAAAATTTATAGTTAGTGTTTAAGCAAAAATTTAGGAACATCAATTTGCATGTTGATGTAACAGGAACAGCAAAATTGTTTCTTCTAATAAGTCTTTTTTTTAGACTGAGGAAAGTCATCCTGCTGCCCTGATTCTCCATGTAAAATAGGGAGCACCAAGTAACTCTCAGCCATTAGAACTTTTTAAAGTATTTCTGAATAGCTTTTTATAGCATGTACACTGACAATACTATGCTAAAAATTCAGGGTTGGGTGGGTGGGAGGACATGGGGGGAAAGGAAGAAAAAGCTGATCCTAGGAACATTTTGACATGTCAAGAGGCTAAGCTCCTCAGTATTCATGGATTTCAGGAGAGTCTTACATCCCTTGAAAGTTTTGTTATCTGTGACACTTCATGGAATAAAGTCTGGTARTGCTTGTTTGATTTTTTCTAAGTCATGTATTTTTGACTGTGGCTGAGCAAGAAGTGGTTTGCATCCAGACTTTTGAGACCTTCAGAATATCAGAAGGTTTTTTTTCAGAAACAAACACTGGTGTCGGAAGCCTAAATAATTTTAGGGAATTATGTTTTGGCACCTGAATTTTTGTATGATATACAAAAATGAAATTTCAAGCATATTCCTTTTGACAAGCTGGAGCCATATGACTCAACGGAAAGCTAATATAACTTTTAAAAATACTATAACCTGTATTTCCATCTTACATTGATAACTCATACCATCATATTTCTGTAAACCTTCTGTCACCTACCGTCACTAGACTGTGATCTATTACTAGAGATGGGATCTGAACATAAAACTTTAACAGTTTTCTTTAGAGAAATTTTTACAGATTTTTTATAGGCTTAATTCCAAGTACACAATTCTCCTGCTTTGAGTAACTGATATGATGTACAAACCATCTTAGGTGGCTGTAAAATTACTTCCTGCCAAAAAAGTTACGAAAGTTTGTCATTCTCTCTCAACTGTGAACCAAGCCTTTTCTAGAGGCTGAAAGTATTGAAGGGAGACACGTGAAGCCTTCTCAGAAAACGAACAGGCAGTGTGGAAGTTGAAGCCAGTGAATTATGCAGGCTCTCCTCATGYTGGAGATGATTTTGCCCTGCTTGTCTGTAGCTATTGCTGCTGAGTGAGGTTCACTCCAGGGTGACCAACTCCAGCRTTCTGACAGCTTCTGTCCTGTAAATCATCCATTCCCAAGATAGTCTTTGCAGATTGCTGACACAGCACACCACAAATAGCCTACACCATCCTTCGTACACACTAAGGACTGTTTCACAAGCAAATCATTCAAACATCATTGCTAAAGCTTCCTTTTCCAACTAATATTTSTTATACTGGAACTTAATGCTAATGTTAAAGAATAATTTAAGCTTTACACAGTGTAACAAAAGAATCTTGCTGAGGCCAACTTTTAAACCATTCAAGATATTCACCATAAATCACGTTTTGATAATTCAAATGAAGCTTTGACCAAGAATGTGGTTCTCCCTCAACCAGGTTAAAGGATTAGACTTTCCAAATCAGTAAGTATGTCCTGTATTCTCTCCTCTTATTCTCTCCCCAAGCAAGTAAATAATCTTTCTTGAGCAGGCTGGTAGCATTAAATGTAAAGCAACACATCAAAGCCTCAAGTCTGCAWAAAACGTCCTTCTAAGCCATTAGATGTCTGATCCTGTAGCACTTAAAGAAAGGGTCTCACTTATGTCACCAGAGATCTGAAGTGTAGTGATTTGCTGGACCTAATAATAAAGTCTTTACCTTCATGCAATAACAAAAGTTGTTAGAATTGTAGAACTTTTCAAAGCACCTATAACAATTGTCAGTAGTATGGTTACTAGACACTCCTGTTATTAAATGGAAGCTTCCAAACTTTGCCTGCTTGGGTACTTAATATGCCAGTTTTCAGTACATAAAATAGCCTGCAAAATTACCTACAGCACAGATTGGGAGCCTGGCAAGTCAACTAAGTGACTGTTCTAGTAGTGGGCTGGATAAAGACGTTCCAAAACTTGGGAGAGTACATTAGGGGGTTGCTCCAAAGCTTAAGAACAAAATATTTATCAAATTATATTTTTGTTCAATTCTATAACTTCCATGAGAAAGAACTGGTGGTGTTTAGAAGTTGTACTAGTCATATTTTTTTCAGTTACAAAATGCTCTGGATCAATGATATTATATGCACCTCGTTACGTTTTTACATACACGACACTTTGCCCTTTCAAACTTGTTCTGCAGAAATAAATCTGTGCAATGTGCTCTGGGATGACCCTGCTTGAGCAGGGAGGCTGAACCAGATGACCCACTGTRGTCCCTTCCAACCTGAACCATTCTGGGATTGTGYAATTCCCTTTGACAGTATCTGCAAGTTTAGTCTCTCTGATGAGCTCCACTCTTTAGACAGAAAGGCATGGTGGAATAAAACTTTAATCCTGAGCTGCTTTAACAACTTCTTTCCGGGAAAAAATATTATTAAAAATTTAGCTGGAATGGTTGATAATCAGTATTCCAAACACTCCAATACTAATGCATCTCCAAATAGAGAAGCTATGTTAGGGCAAAATATAATCAATTCCAGCAAGCCTAGTGCAGGATGAAAGCAGCTGACATAACAAATTATTAATACAAAAGAAACCATTTTTMTCCACCAAAAATGGAACAATGAGCATGTGCATCTCCTCCAGGGAAGACTGCATTCCAGCTTTCAGCAGGGCCAGTGGTCAATACTTATCTCAACTGAGAAGAAGCTACATCAACCGTCTGTCTCTTTAAATAGGCAAGTGTCAAAAAGCAGCCTCACTCCAGGGTTGGGAGTTTGGACAATCTGAAACACTGGCTGTTTGCATGTTTTCATTACCTGCAGTAATTCAAGCTCAGAACTGCAGAAAGGGTAGGATGTATGCCCAGGAAGCTGGATTTCTTGGGCTCTCTGGAGGCATGGAGCCTGTAGGACTGGGGCAAAGAAGGCAGAATTGGCAATGCAGGCAGGGTAAGGAAAAGGCATGACAAAAATGTAGTCACCAAATATCACTAAACTCACTGACCTGTCCAGAAACCTCAGTGTACCAGTTTGCCTGTTTTGCTCCAGCTCTCCAAGAATTTTCACTAAAACAAATGAATCTTAAGTATAAGTCTTCTAATGTCTCATGAACTTTCCTACATTCCCTTCAGAGAAAATACTTGAGATGATAGAAAACCAGATTAAAAAAAAAAGAATAAGCATCATCATGACCTCAGTTTGATACTACAGATAAACAGCATATTTTAGTATATACTCAAGTCTATTAAGCTCTTTTTCTTCAGAAGTATAAAAGTTTCTCACTAGTGCTGGTAAGAAACAAAAAGTAAAAATAAATAAAGTAGCACGAACAGGTATGGTCAACCTATAGTTTAATTGRAACCAATACAGATTAAGCTAAACACTGATTTGCTAAAAACCCTCACAGATGAAAAATCCCAGGAACCAAGAGGTAATGGTCTACATTACCACATCTTAAGGTTACTTCCTATGTGTATTTTTGTGCCCAAACCAGGAAAGACTGAGTGCACCCCACATGAAAACTCGTTCAACAGACAGGCCTCRTGCTGCCCCAACAGGATTCTCTATTGGCCCTTTCAAATGTGATTGAAAGAGAAAGAATTTCATCTGYCTCTGGATGAACTCACAGTGACAATACCTAAAATGCAGGAAAAAAAAAACCCTGATGGAGATTCCCCAAGAGTTTAYCCCTAGGAGTGGAATGGAAGGAGTGTAGAAGATTGTATTATTTTTTACTGTTTTTACATAATTTATAACACTTTAAACACTGGTCTCATAAATATAATATGAACACTTTACACATGCCAAGCAATTAAAAGCTTTCCCCAAAAACTTRTAGGTCTTACCAGAACCACTGGCAGCATCTGTTTACAGCATGTCTTTTTAGTCAGTAACCACTTAATTTAGTCAGATCTACAAGCAATTTTCTTCAACCAGCATCTTAATATTAAATAACTTGTAACAAAAAGATGCCTATAAGCCTATCAGTTTGCCTTAAAGTGATTACAGTCAGCATGAGAAAGAAGATTGTCTGTGGTTTAAGATCGGCTGCTTGTGTCCCCACCCCCAGAGCAGATCATCTTTAAATAAAAAGTGCAAATGGGATTTGGGGACTGGATGGACTGATTTGCCTACTGTTTATCTTCAGTTGTGTATTCTGTAGCCATCTCACATCAACTGTCCATACTTTGGATTAGCTACACCAAAATTTAAAATAAGGCTCACTGAAGAAAAGGAAGAAATGACATCTAACTTCCAGACCTCTCCTCCCCCGATCTCCCACAAAAGTGCTCATTTCCCTTTTTACAAAAAAAGTCCCAAAACCTTGATTACAAAATTATGAAAACTTTTCAGTTCTACCATCCATGTAGTCACCTTCCAAACAAGCAAGGCCAAAAAAGTGATGATGGATTCCCTTTGAATGCAAGAGACACTGCACGCTGTGTAAGCCAGCAGGCTGCCCTGACAACTGCAGTCTTTTCTGCGTGCGTGCGGGTGTCAGATGAGCTGGTCCCTTTTTGGGGGACCTCGGGTGTATGAACACCAGCAGATAAAGATCTAAGACTGATAATATAAACCCAACGTGAACTATTAACTTCCAAGACCACCTACTGTAGAAACAAGTTTGATTTTYTAAGGGGTCAGTCAACAGCAGCTGCGCTTTGTCACCGATGGCTGTCGTCGAAGTTTGAAGCCCTTTCCACTGGACGGTGGGTTGGTGTCAGTGGATGGAATTCTGCGACCTACAAGGAGGCAGGAAAAAGAAATTTATAGGAAATGTTATACTTGAAACTAATTCTAAGCATCCGGTGTATGATCTGTATACAATAATGTGTCTCCAGCTAGCTGTAGGTCATTAGGGATGACATTCCTGCCCAGCAGGATGGCAGCAAYAGTCTGTGTTATGTCTGTAAGAGGGACGGCTGCACAAAAGGAGAGCAGAGGCAGTTTGAAGCCAATTTTGCAGCAGTTACACTTCAGGCTCCTCTAGACTTGGACAGCTGAGCTGTAAAGCACTTGGAGAATATCCTCTGCAGGATGCAATACCATCTGGAATAGCTTGAGAACAACCATCTTGACCTGCATTTCCACAGATCACCTGCGTCGGGCTTAGCAAAGGAGTGCTTGTAGAGAGAACTGCTTTAGTCATCTCATCAGTCTTTAGAATTGACTGTTCCTGGTTGAGCATTCTCTTCTGAGGAGGATTTATGATTTTTTYCCCCCCATAATTTATTCAAGATCAATTTTAGAGAGCAACTATTAACTCAGTAAATCAAGAAGCTAATCTACAGCACACACTTTTTACATCAACTTCAATATATTCAACTGCTTCTATAGACCCTGTATTTTTTCCTTAGGTCTGATTTTTCTGTAGTTAGTCCTCTTTTCACAAACAGGCTGACACATCTGCACATTGGAGCTGCTACTTGACACATATCTTCCAARTAATATTGCATGGAATTCACTTTGGAATACTGTCTGCTTTTTATTCATACACATAAAAAGTAGCATTGTTGTCCTCACCACAAATGAGATAGAAAAGATTTGCAATTTAATATTAAAAAACCCCAAGGTACTACAACCACAATTGTGGAAAATCTACATTAGGTAGTTGCTATTCCCCATGCAGTAATCTGGCATTTATGAATTCYTGTGTTTTTAAAAATACACTTTTTAAACCTAAGTACAAACATTAAGAGTGAGAACTTAATTCCTTTTCTTAGATGTATGAAGTCTGGATCTTCCTCATGCCATTTCCTTTTCCTTCCATAACCTTGCAAGTACTAATTGTAACATTCATTAACAGACATGGTAAGATGACACTGACTTCTGTACTGTACACGAGCACCCTGCTTGCTGTTTATCCAGGAGCATCACAGTAGGCTGAAAATCTCTAGAAGGTATATTTAGAGGTCATTAGATGACTAGAAGTTAATGCAGCTYATTTTTTAGTTTGTACTCATGTCAGATTGTAACACATTTAGTATAAAGTCAGTGTATTCTCACCCAAATAGCACAAAAAGTAACACGGAAATTAAATTTCTGCTTGAACTTCTTGGTGAAGAAAGTATGTTAACTGTTTAAATACTTACTAATTTCTATAAAGAGTTCATTAATGTTTATTGCATTTTTCGCACTTGTCTCTACAAATATTGCATGAATGGAATCTGCATAGTCTTTAGCATCTTTTTCCATGACTTCTCTGGAAAAAAAAAAGCAAAGAAAAAACCATGAATGCAAAAGAACCCGATTACTCAAAACCTGAAGGGACAGATTAAGTTTTTAAGTGTCTGCCATAATGAATATTTTACCCGTTTGGCATCACAGTGCTCCCTGATGCTGAAGMTGCTGCTCATTCTTTACTCTGTGCTGTCTCCCTGCCTTGAGGTATGAGCACAGTCACGAACTACTCAAGGCCTTAATCCATCTGACAACACTGCAGTGGTTTTGTCTTGAGTGCTCTAAGCTTAGGTCTGCCATCAATCCTTATGAGGTGTGTTATTCATTCCCCCAGCTCTAGATTTCCTGAGAAGATCCTAAAGCATTATTTCCAATGATCCTGTGCGTTTCTTAGGACTGTTTATAAAACCAAAGTATCTCCCAATACTGCACAAATCATCARTGCAGCATTTACTTGGCATGAAGACATAGCTATGAAAGAGGAATATTTTCATACCGAGTATACAGAACTGTACTACTTATTCTACACCCCAAAGTAGGCAGGCAAGTTAAAAATGTAGTTTCTTTCCTTAAACAAAATGCAAAATACAAGTCTCAGTAGCTAGAGGGAAATCTGGACTTTATGTTGTATCACTTCACAATTTTTACAGAACAGGCTGCTATCAGTAATAAGGGACTTTGGGATATCAAGAGCATGGACTTCGATCAGTTACTCAAATATTGCCTTTGACTAAAGTACAAAATCTTCCTCATTAGCTTGAATAGCAATGTTTACATTTGTGATGCCAGCTGAGCATGGGAGACTGAGCACAGTTCTAAGTAATTTTACACTGTATTTCTTCAAAAGACATGCTACTTCTAACAAAAGTTAGTAGAGCTCACTAGATAACAGCTAGGTATTACCAATTGGTAAAATCATACTCAGAACCACCTTTGCAGTGGTTCTTTAAGCATATAACCATCTGTCTCCTTTGAGACACCAGCTGTGGTGCCTTTTCCAGTGAAACCTAAACCCAAGAAGTTTACACACACCTTCTTTCTGAATTTTGGCTCATTTAACCAGGACATCAATAAAAAAGGCCTTTTGTTTTTAGTACATGCCTTCCTGAAAGTTTGGCTCTTCATAAAGTTTCTCAAGAGCTTTTCCCGCTCCCTGCAACTATTTTGGCCACAGCCAATTCCACCCCAATATTTAAGCAGGGAAAGAAGGCACCTGAACAAGCAAGTCAGAAAAACCTACACAATGCTTTCCAACAGGCTTGATGTTTTTCCTAACAAAATGAGGTGCTACAGACTGACAGGGGCACTTCTTGTAAAGTGAGGTAAACAGCTTCTATTACACTATAGTTTCACAGGCAGTTTAGGTTTGTGTAACTTGGCACTGCCACCAGGAAAGGTAATCCTGTCTCCCTGTAAACTGCTCATTCCTAAGCCTGCTATCCCCACACCGTTATGCCAGCAAGTGTTGACAGTGGGAGAAAGATAAATACACTTGGATCAGTTTTTCTTTTTTTTTTAAAGAGTTAGTTTTAATCTGGATCCATTTTACAGCCCAATTTACTGCCCACTCATACGTGTACTCGCATCAGCACAGGGGAGGAAGTGGGTGAGACCATCCAAGGGCAGAATTAACCACATCTTCTGACAGCAGAAACTGCTCAAACCCCTTGTGAAACTACAACACTAGAGCAGAACAGCTTAAATCGTTCTATACCTTTCAGCTGCTCTAAAATCTTAAAATATTTAACACTAGGGCTTAAGGGAAAGACTCAAAATGGACAACAGTGATTTACCTTACATCATTAAGATCACACTTATTTCCTGCAATAGCTACAACAATGTTGGGAGGWCCATGCTGGCGAAGCTCTTTAACCCAGTTCTTTAAGGTTGAGAAAGTTTCCTGATGTGGAAAAAAAAAAAAAGGAAAGAAGACGGAAAAAATTAAGTCAGAACTGGTGTATGACACAAATAAAAAAAACCCAGAAATAGTAATGATGGGTGAAGATCAAACTTCTTACCTCTTTTGTGATGTCATACACTATAATGGCTGCTGCTGAGCCTCGGTAATACATYGGGGCTAAAGCACGAAACTGCAAGAAAGACACCAGACAACATAAACCTGATCTTCTGCTGACCTCCAGAACCTCACTATCATTATTACTACTATTGAAAAATGTGAAAATCAGTTTTAAAGATCACAGCAGTGGAAAACTTTTCTTTACAGACACAACTAGTCTGTGCAATAGAGTACAATCTCCCAGGAAGGCACTGCTCTACAAAGGCCAAGCAATAAATTGCTATAAAGAGGCCAAGCAGCACACCTATGGCAAASAGCAGGAAGGCAAACTTGATTTTATTTTGCCTAGATCAGAACCTCTCACATAAAACACTGTCTACACAAACATGCATGTGCTCAACTTTAAACACCAAACAAGGGCAAAAATGCAGGAAGAAGCAAGTTCAATTTTAACTAAGACAAACGTCAAGAAAATTAACATATATTAATGTTGATCTSAAATACTCAGAAGCTGGGGTCAACCTGTAGCCCCATGAAACAATCATCAGTCTTAAATACTAGAAATGTTGATTTCTTCATAATCTAATTTATGGCTTTAAGGACTTTGCTTCAGTTTTCCCCTCAAATTTAGAGGCATGTTTAAAACTCAGAACTTCAAAAGTCCACAACTATGTGCCCTGTCACAAGCAGAGCTTTAAGGAACACACTAGATAAAAAAGGCTGCAGTAATTTTCTTGTGATTTTCAGAATTAAATCTACAGCAAGTCTGTTTGGTTGGTAGGGCCTGTACCTTTGAGTGGACAGAGYCTTATGAATCCAGGGCTAAAAAAAGTGATAAAGTACACGATCAAGCTGCAGCAAAAAATATCAACGAAACATTCTTAAGAACAGAGGGATATTCTGCCAACTTAAAAAAAARCCAAGACAACTAATCTAGCAACCAGAACTCTCCATCAAAGCACAGAGTGMACTGTATATATTGGTTCCATGTAAGTATATATGATTTAGAGCTTTTGTGCATCTTATTATTCAGGGTAAAAATAATGAATTGGATACAGTTTTTCATAAAGGCTTATTCATTTCTAATAAAATACCAATTTCCTTTGCTTAGTACAGTTCAACTGAGAGCAATATAATAAATCATAAAAATCTTGCTATAAAGCAGAATTCCAGRCCATTTACGTTTGGCTTTCATATTCTGTTTTGAAAATAGGATTTTGAATGCAAAGTTCAGAATATAAAAATATTTAATAGTGGGAAAGGGAAACATGGACARGCATTCAGTTCACATTGGGACATAATCCCTCTCTTCCTTTTAAGTACTAAAATGTAAAGAGAAACATATTTGGTAAACCACCACTTGGACTGGTTGCAACCTGGCTTTTGATTATTTCACTATTTACATTGGGAATAAACCAACTTTCACTTGCTGATTTGGTATTCCTCTCATTTCCAGTCTGCTAACACTTAGATACTTTTTTCCACCTAAGAGCAGTCGGCAGATAAAATATATTAATAAAACAGATGTTACCAGAAACACTGGATTTTCCTTTTGCACTTTTTCCAAAGACTTCAGCTTGCTCCCCAGCCTCCAATTTGTGTTTTGACTTAAGTATTAAGATAACATAATGCAATTAACCAGGGAAACTCCAAACTGTTAGGTAAGAAGGCAAAAATCCTAATGACTGYAAGTTACCTCCTATCAATTTAACTCAGTGTAGAAGAAATGAGAGAAGGAATAAGGTGTGTGTGTGTGTGTAAATGAGCTGTGTGAAGTGACTTGGTGCACATTTCCACCTCTGGAACAAGGCTACCCAGCCACCCCTGAACCCACAGAGAGCAAGGGGGTGCCCTGTGCAGTGCAGCATCATCTGCAGCTGGGCTTTTGAAATGAGAAACAGCAAACAYGCCTCAAGAAGCCAGGACTGTGAATTCCATGCATTCTGCATCATAAATCAGCAGAGACATTTCAGTTCCAAGAATGGTGTGGAYGTTTTTGGTATTCCAGATTTATTCCATGGAGGGAATCCCTTCCATATTCATTGCCAGAAAACTGCATGACCAAAAAATTGTGCTTTAGGGCCAGCAGGTATACAGACCATTTGTGACAGCAATGATAGCACTGTCTGCTCTGGAGAAACTGTGGAGATCCTGAATAATTTCAAAGCAAACATCCTTGCTCAAAATTCACTGATTTCCTTGGTTATACTTGGGCCTCAAGTGACTTCTCTCAGATATGATTTACAAGCTTCACAGGTATCACAGCTCCTGGGTCAGAGCCCTGATAACATATCTTTCTTTTTTCATTTCAATAAAGATATCGAGCAACTTGTATGGRAGAAAATTAAAGAGGTATCACTGAGAGTCTATTTATAGACCAGGAACATGTTGGTCATGTATAGAGATGCTTCCTCAGATTAGATGTGCTGAATCCAAGTTACAGGGTCCTCCCATTCCTTGCGCAGTTMAAGTGAACAAGATGGAATGCTAAAATGTAATGGATGTTTCCTGCCAAATAGTGGCAGGCATGTTTATAAAGCTTTCCATTTAAGAGTACCAACCTCTAAAAATTCACTCTATCTCTCAGAGTATCACTTTCCAGCATTAACATTCCAGAAYGGGCTACAATGTTCACTTAAGACAAACTATTTACAGCAAATGCTGACTGACTGCTAGGAAGGGCTCAAGATATTTTTGATAACACAGATAGTATTGGACAAATTCCTGGGAAACATCCCTGACAACCTAAGTTTGTTTTATATGGTGCTGCTGCAAGGAAATAAATTGTCATTCAAAATTTGCAGCACTGAATCCCAATACAAATGTACTTGAGTTATTTCCTAGCCATCAAGTCTGTCATCAAGTCAAAAAGCTGGCAAGTCAGTTCCACCAGGAATCCTAAAGATCAAGTGCTCTGGATAGGGATGACTGACAAAAAGTGTTTGTTTTGTTTGTCAATGGGGAGTTGTTTTGCTGGTTTATTTGTTTTTCTGTTTGGGCTGTTTCTTAAACCAATCCTGAACAATAGTACAGCTGCATTTGCCAGTTGTTATCCTAAATAACCCAACCTTTGTTACAATTACCTCACATCCTAAATAAACTCATCATGAGTCATTGACAGTTGCCAACAGTTCACTTGCAGTCAAGAAACAAGAAAAAGCACTGTTAATACAGCTACTGTAATTTCTACCACTCTTACTAGTGATCCATAAGCAAGCAATTCTCTAGCAAAGTCTTCCTTTTAAATTCCAAGCAAAAATCACGCAAATTAATTAACTGGGACTTCACCTGAGTAGTCATTTTCTTCAAAGMTTTTGTTGCCTCCCCTCATGCTGCAGAGATCAAAACCCCAAACTACCAAATTACAACTTACATTTAAAAGAGATTCCTTGACATAACTTCTAACACCATCAGACTTGATTAGCAAAACTTTACAAAAGAACAAAAGAGCAGTTATCTCTAGTAACATTGCTTGGAAATCTGCTTTAGAAAGCCTAAATCTACATCCTGCTCACATTTATAACCCTAACAGTGAAGCTTACAGAATGTGTTAGCAGCTGTATATTTTTCCAGAATCAAGGCCTTACTTATATTATGAAACATAACTTATTTCCCTTTGATTCTTGTGTTGCTGCACTGGCTACAAACATTGGTTAAATGTTTAAAACTCAAGCAGAAATGGTACTAGAGACAGCTGCTGGCTTCCCCTGCTCCTCACACCAGTCTTGTTTTCTTTGGAAAGACCACTCCCTTTCAGGGAATCTAAACCCAGTCTATTGTCTCATAAACTCCTCTTTGGTAATCTTTCATACCTTTACACTTCAATCACAACAACAATCAAAAATAAAAACATATCTACAGCACCCACATCTTGATAGGAACCTGCATAGAAACGAGTGTTCTAATACATCTTTGTAAAATCAGATCACTTTGTGACTTTCACAAGCAGAGTTGAAAAACAACCCAAACTCTGGCCCAACCTTTCTCCACAGRTATTGACTTTACTTACCCGCTCCTGTCCAGCTGTATCCCAAATCAGGAATTTATGCAGCTCATTTTGATACTGTACAGTCTTGGTCATAAATGAAGCTCTAAAAAAAAAAACCAAACAAACCATAATTCGTGCTTCTTCAAACATGAAGATATTCTTAGATCATTCATTACCACCACGAGCTTTCAAAAAGGTTCAGATTTCCAGTAAAAGTGCGTTCTCTACACATAAACACCAAACTGATGAAGCGTTTCAGATAATAAAGGCTGAAATTAAGAGAGGATGAAATTTCCTTTCAGAGACTGGAATTCAACTAAAAAAACACAGCATGAATGCAAATTATAAGTTTTAATTGTTCACAGGCTTTGGATGAAAAATATAGGAAGACCAAAAACCTAGRAAGGTCAGCCTTTTAACAATATCCTCCCTCACAGCATCACAGCTATCACTTCAGTGTATACYGGAAACTTCTGGGGGGAAAGAGGTCAAATCCTTCCCTTTCCATCAGCTTTTTCTTCCTCTGTACTAATATTCAGATAAGTGACGGTAAATCCATACTTGGGAATAAAATTGGGGACAGGTATCACTACACCTGAAGGACTAGATATTCCCTGAAGGACTAGATATTCTGCAGTTCCCACAGGTATATGGGAAATGCTTAAATGTGCCCTCAGCATACTGAGAGGACAAAAACTGGCAGAGCTTCTGCAGCTGCCCATATCTGAACCTGAGCAATGAACACTGACAACAACAAAGTGTGATTGCTCAAATAATTCTAAGAGGAATGAAAACAGACGAGGAAACAAGATTATATCTCATGAACTCAAAGACCCAGGAATAAAGTTGAAACATTCTCAGCTTGTTTTGCAAGACGCTCAAAGCTCTTTTAATCCTTACTTTGTTCTTTCCACCCACTAGTGTCAATTAGTAAATAAATGCAAGGTATAAAAAAAAGGTCAAAATCAATATGCTTAAAATTACAGGACCATGTATCTTACTGGAGCTTCACAGAACCGCTGCATTTGGGCAAGTTTGGATTCATTTATTCMTACAGCAAACACCAAAATACCCAGTCCTCAGACCAGTGAATGATTTTGTTAAGATTGGTAAGAGATAGATTTTCAGTSTGTCCCTTCAAGCAAGTATAATGATCTCAGTACTGTCAATAAACCTCTATTAATAGGGAAATTCAAACAAAAGCCCACTTGCTACAGAACATCTTGCAATTCAGTATCAGTATTTATAATAAAAAAAGACGGGGGTGTCAGGAAAAAGAGAGAGACCATGGGCACCCAACTTTTCGGAAGGACAGGATGAGATATAGCTGATCTTTATCAGGAGGTTCTTTTATGGTCAAAGCTGTGGCAGAGCCTATTTCACCTGAGACAGGAARTTGTACTGACACCCCCACACATCTCTTGGCATCAAGCAAAGTCTGTCCTCCCATAAGCCAAAAAATGCATTTTATCAAAGCAGCCCAAAAGACACTTGCTAAGCAAAAGARACAGGAAAAGGAATAAAAAGATCCAACCACTTCAACAATTCCTGATCTCTTTCTTCTATCCATCCAAAGATTCGAGATCAATAGTGTTGCCACTCTGAGGCTCAAATCTCAAATATCCCCCTTATCTATGAGAGCAACTGCAAAAACAGTTTCAACAGTTAGCTTTGTGTGTGCATTGCATAAAGATGTGCAACACTTTTACTAATTAATGGCAAGAACTACCTGAATTAGAATGTTAAACACSCTCAAAAACCTAAGAGACTTATTGTACTTGAGTCTTTAAAAAAATAAATTAGAAACCATGGAGTTGCATAATAATTAGATGTTGAAATTTAAGGGCTGTGTACAAGAAAAGTATGCTGTCCCTTTAGCAGAAGCATCTGTAGTGTAATTTATTCATTGTTAACTTAGATTAACAGTACAAAATGGGTCCAGACCTTACACATGAAAATGGAAGCTGCAGGAGTGCCGGGAACACTCCTATGTGTCCTGAGGTAGCTCACGAGCTTAATTAAGGCTGCAGTCATGTTTATTACCATGTTTAGCTGCCACACACGAAGAACTCCCAAGTGATCTACTCAGGTAATTTCATTTTATTCTTACATAAATCACATTTACTTTACTTGGTTTCTTACCCTATTGTTGGGTTGATGTTGGGATCAAAGCTATCTTCGACAAATCTCCACACAATACTTGATTTGCCCACACCAGTGTCCTAAAAAAGGAACAGAAACAGTTGAAAGTGGTATTTGTTACTATAAACAGATGATGCTTTTTATCCTCAAATCAAACTCACTGGGATGAGTAACACATTCCTGCAGACAATCTTAAAGAACTTGTKAAATACTTCAGGTATTACACTAATTTAGTAGAAAAATGAAAGGCCTGTGACAAGTTAGTTTTCTAAACAAAACTGAATTTTTTTTGTAAGGACTACAAAAATCTTCGTTCATACTTATTATTACTCAAATTTCATTTTCCCCAAGGCTATGTACAACTTGAAATGGAATAGCAATAGGAAAAGACCACTTTTAGTAAAATATGCAATTGAGTACAGCTTGCCAGGATGGAGAACCAATGAAACACATGAAATTATACAAGTGTGACACATGCATTCAACCTCTGACTAATGCTGTCCCACCCTGCTTAATGAAAGACTTGAAATTTCTTCTGTGACACACCTGAAACATGCTACTAATGCAACTCTACAATGGTGAAAATGGTGAAAGAAGGAACACAACATGAAAAATTTGGGTTGTGTGTATTTTTGCACCACCAATCCATGGTTAAAAAGCAAAAGATATACAGAAGTCACATTAGAAGTAAAATAAGCTCTTAGCGGTAAAACACTTCTCAATAGAAGCCGGACATTTGAAATTGTATTTTAAGATATATGAAGACAAATTACTTTCTTTACATTTCCTGGGTCACTAAAATTTTAAGCAATAAAACTATGAGGAACTACTTCACTGAAAATGAAATRTTATGTAATTTATSCATTTTWWAAAAAAAATCTCCTGAATATTACAGTGATTTGACTACACTATGCATGATTGTGCTCATCCTGCCAAGCTGTTTTCCTCTTGAAGAAAAACACATTATCATAGCTCTGCAATTTATGCCATTTGTAGTCTCATTAATCAAWGCATATCTTAAAAAGAGAAACACAGATGTGGGTCGTGGCTCAGGGAGTTCAAGAACAAGTTTTCCCAGGTCCTTACTCTCCTTTCCTGCCAAAAGGTTTCTCAGGCCAGGTGAACACAAACAGTAGTTATCCCAAATACCTTCATAACACGAAGGGCACACAAACACATAATCTTCCCCTCTGAAGGGCAATGTGGCCATTTATAAGCAAAAAACAAGTCTGAATAACAGAGGGTTTCGATGCAGGCAGTGACACCTCCACCTGTTCAACCTGGAGCTCTCAGACCAGACCAAAAAAAGCCGACACAGCTTCATAGCCTTCAATTTTTAAACTTCTGCTTAATTTCGCTTCACGTCTCCTTCTTCCACCACCTGCAAGACTTTCAAGCCACCCTATGTTCTTACAATATTAAGTTCAGGCCCCTCCCTTCYCTCACACCAGTTTGATTTCAGGTGCTTCTATTTATTTTGTGAACTACAAGCCCGAAACAGCCTGAGAGGAAGAACGTACAGGGTACTTGTGCTTCCTCTGTTATTTTTTTTTTTTAGAAGGAGCACAGGGCAAAAAAGGAGCGATATTGACGCCGGGCAGACGCCTCCCCCGCGGAAGGGAAAGCGCGTCCGCCCGGTTCCCTCAGAGGGACGGGGMGAGGGCCACCCTGCACCCGGGGAGAGCTACCCATATTCGACATCTCTCCGAGCTCTGAAATAGGCTCTCCAAACGCTGATAGAAACTCTCCGCCATCACCACAGAGCCTCTCCAGCCTCTGACAGAGGCTCTCCGCCATCACCACAGAGGCTCCCCGCCACCACCGAGCCTCTCCAGCCGGCCCCTCATTCGGTTCCCACCCTGCCTCCCTCCGCCCAGCACTTACCCCCAGAAGGCAAACTTTCAGCTCTCTCAGAGCCATGGCCGGGCAGGCAGCGCCTTCAGCGAGCGCCTGAGACGCGGCCCAGCAGGATCATCGCCGCCCCCCGCCCGCCCCGGTTACCCGCACACCGCGCTCCTCCTCAGGCTGCGCGGCCGCGCCGCCATCTTGGGCGGCCGCCGGAGTCCCCGCCCGCGCCCCCCGCTCGCTGTTGTCCCCCTGAGGCGCTGACGGGCCGCTCGACCCTCGGCAGACGCTGCTCCTTCACCCGGTGGCGTTTCGGGGCTGACCCGGCGGCAGGAAGCACCCGCGGCTCCTCCCTGTGCCCTGCCGCTCCTCCTCCTCGCCCATGTCCATTCCAAGATGGCCGGTAAGTGGGGCCGGCGGGCGGGCGGGCGGCTCAGCCGGGGCTGCCGCCGTCCTTCCCAAATCAACCCCCTGGTATCTCTCTTCTGTTTTTTGTTTGTAGGGATCCCTTTGTATTTTGTGGATTTGCAGGATGACTTAGATGATTGTGAGTAACTGTTTTTTATTTTTCCGCTCCCTGCTCAGGCCCGCGCTCCCACCCCGGGGTCCTCCTGTCGCCCTCTTTCCCTCTCTGCATTTTCACCCCGGTGAGGGCGAGGGGAGGATTTTGAGGCAGTTCTGGTAGATGAAAGTTCCCAGGGCGTTGGGATTATCCCCGCTGGTTCTAGGGGCCACTGGGCTCGGTGTAAACAGCAGCTCCAGCAGCKCCCGAGCCTGCGAAAAGGCGCACGGGGGGATGAGGGGATCAGCCCCGCTCCTGTTGTAGTTGGGAATTAGAATAATTAGCCCAGGGATTGCTCAGTTGCGGTGAGACTTTCYAAGGCTGTAGAGGCTGTGAGGACGCGTGTTCCGCTGCTCCTGCATCCCGGGGATGTGCTGCGGGTGCACTCGGGATAAAGGGAAAATAGCTGTGTGTGCTCCGGTTGGATCGCACAAACCCATGGGTTTGGGTTGAGTTTCCAGGCAGGGAACAGCTCCATCACACGCCTTTGTAGCCCAGGGCTGTGTTCCAAGAGAACTGGACACCTGTCAGACTTGAACCAGCCTGGTAAGCGCTGTGATTTCAGRAGAGGAAGCTTTAACGATGTTTAATAGAAACTTCTATTGCCTTAGAAAGGTGCTCTCTCTGTCGGGTGGTTTCAGTGGCACGTTGGACTGTTCAATTAAAGAAGAAGAATGATACTTGTGTTTGATTCTTGTGAGAAACTTTGTCACAAGATCTTTATGGTTTGTTATCATTTGGGAATGCGAAACAGGTGGACCCATCCCATTTACCTTCCCAGCTGAGCATAAGAAAGCTGTTTTAGGAAAAGGTGGTCTTCAGGAACATCAGGGAAATGTTGGAATACAAATGGGATCTAAAGTCTTCCTTTGGGAAGATCTACTCTTGGGAGGAGCTGGTTCTGTGGGATTCCGTTGGTTATTGCTCTCAGTCTTTGAGGTTTCTGCTTTCCCCGAGTAGGTAACAATGTGTAAAGTGTGAGCAGAAGAAATAAGTGCAAACTTATAACAGTTCTCTAATGTGTTTTGGCCTTGAACCAGGGGTGACCATCCCTGGAAGTGTTTGTTTTCCGTTAGTGTTCAGTCCTTGGCTGTTCTGTTTAAACTGTAACAGATTAGTCTGGTGGGTTTATTAAAATGTTTGATGCTTGTAAGGCAAAACTCTAGTAAAAAAAAAAGTCCAGATAAAGACAGTTTTGCCATAAGTAATTCATGGAAGAAATTATCAATTTCAGGATGAGCATGTAAATAAATGTACCTTTTAGAGCTTTATTAAAATATAGTTACGTGATGTAAAAATATTCTTTGATTATGTTTGTTAGTTTGACAATGCCTCTAGAATTATGGAATCAACAGCGGTCTGTTGTAGCAGAGCTCAGGTGTCCCATGGCTGTGATACTGTTGTGCTATTCAGTGACTAGGCTAGCAAAGAGTTTAGGATGTGTTTTAGGAAAGCCTCAGTGAAAYAAACCACTGGAACTGGATTTTTACTTGCTTAACTAAATTGGTGAAATATTATCATGCACGATGAAGATTAATTCTGTTGAAACACAGAGTCTGGGGGCTTATTCCGGGTGTGGGAAAAAGCTGTAGTAAATTCTAGCTTAATTCAAGTGCAGCTTAAAACTTGCTTTTCATAAGATGAGATAATGGGTCATCTGGAAGAAATAATTAGCTTATTTATGCCCTTTGTACAATTAATAAGAAAGTATTTAAAGAATTTGTTTTTCCTTCTATAAACATGCAGAGGGAAAATTATGTCCTTGAGCTCATTAAATTGTTGCACTCGGTGCTGGCATTTWCTGGTTTGTGCTGTGAAATGTGGATGGTGACACTGGGAGATGACATTGAATTGCTCTGTTAGATCTTGTGACCCTGAATTTCTTATGCCTCTGAGCAGCTTTTGAGCACAGTGAACTCGAGTTCAGCTGTGAATACTGTCACATTTATTTCTGTTTATAGGTGAACAGATTTCAAGCTTGTTTGACCTAGTTAGAGGGAAAAATACTGAAAAATACCTGTGAAAGAACATTAGATAAATGCTAGTTCATTATTTGGGATTTACTTTATAGTMCATGGTGTATTCTGAAACTTGTGAGTACCTATGTTGTCTTATTTTGTGGAAAAAGAAAACTAAAATTCTTGAGAGAAGACAGAATGGATTCTGCCATGATTATTCCTTATTTATGTGTAGTGAGAGCRTGTGGAAACTATTTCAGATATTTAACTCTCAATCCTGAGCATAAGTAATAGTGCTCTGTTTTGTCTCTGTTCTTGGAAGCACTAGTGTGTGCTTAAGTACTTTAAATGAGTAATAGAACTACTCCATGTAGTAAAATTAAACATGTTCATAATGTTTACAAAATCAGCCCCAGGTTTAGTATTGTAGTCAAAATTAGAATTGGAGTTTATTTCACTGTCATTTGATTTGGTAGGAATTCTAAAATATTTGAAGTGAAGTAATAGCTTTAATCATTAAAGTGTTTCTAATTGGGGACAGCTGGGAACTAGTTAAAGCTAATGACAAGTATATTGATTTTAATCAGTCTTTCTTTGTGTAACAGGTGACTAAGCTTAAAAATTAGCCAGTGAATGTCTGGTCTGTGAGGACTTTCAAATATATGTGCTATAATTGCATAGATCCAAGGATGGTCAGTTTGGGTGTGGACAGTCTGTTGCAACCTCAGAAAGGAAATCTGCAATCCTRCAGACACTGTGTAACTTCCCGTGAGCTGTCAGGGATACAAGAAGTTTCTTTTGAAACAGCAAATCTGGATGTTCCCTCTTCAGGCACTTTGACTGGGGGAAAATTTGGAATTGCTGTAGGATTCTAACTCACCTGGGGACCTTGGAGATTTTAAACCAATCTTTTTTTTTTTTTTTTCCCTCAAGACTCAGATATAGCATTTTTCTCCATGTATTTTCAGATGATTTCCTCTTTTACTAAGCTGTATTCCTGAGACTGTTTTGACTTGTGTTGAATAATTGGAAAGCAGACTTTTACATAGGAAATGTTGGAAAAAAACTGGGGCTTGGTACCTCTCAGTAATAGAGGAGGYTTTAACATATAAAGTGATTTATAATGGATATTAATGGAGTTTAGACCAAAGAAGTGGCTTGTTGTCTTCAGGGGTTGTCACTGGCAGCACATGTGCTGGGTTGTGAGATACTTCATGCATGTGAGAAGCTGTGTTGGCAGGATTGCCATTTCCTAAAGTGTGGTCCCAGTTGCTCTATTTGTGTGAAAGAAGTGTGCCTGGCTCTAGGAGTGCTTGGGACAGTTGTAAACCCAGAGCAGCAATATTAACCACTCCAGTGCAACTCTTTCTATGGAGTTCCTTTGTCCAGCCCTTAAAGACCATTTGTGTGAAAGATTTACGTGCTGCAGGCACATTATTTCACTTGGTTGTAAAGATGAAGGATTAAAATGTTTGGCAACAAAGTTATCCCTTTCCTTTTCACGGTCATATCTCCTGCCTCTAATTTGTGATGGTGACTGTTAGATTTGGGGAAGGAAATTGTAGCAGTTGGTGTGGTAATATTTGGGTAAAAGTCCAAAGCTGCAAATACAAAAAAGATTCAGAGAARGTCTGGTCTGCAGTAGGGAGCTCCCAGCATGTTCACAAGTATGGCGAAGTTGAAGTTTTTCCCAAAAGTTACTGGTCTGATTTAGGTACATGGGGCCCAGTAGCTACACTGAGGAAAATGCACCTTGGGAACTTTGRAACAGACATAAGAATTTGCTGTTTAAAGCAATACTGTTTGATTTTTGCTATGATTGTTAAAATTCCAGTTTCTTTTAATGTAATTTATTTTTGTTTTGAATATGTGGGTCAGTTTGTGGTGTGCAGTTGTGTCAGCTGAGCCCTCTTAGTGCATGTGGATCCTTCACTGGGAGGGTGAAGTGTATTTACAGCTAAATGTTTTGACAGTCAAATTAACCTTTAAGCTTGAATTGACAAGTCTATATGCAAGTGTTGCTCTCAACTTCATTAGATACAATTTAAGATTCCTTTGCAAGCTGTTTCCAATGATGGGCAAATACTTCCCTTTTAAAGAAATAGTTATTGCTAGCTTGTATTGTACATTGTAACATCTCTTGCTGACTCTTGGTTTTTTGTTTTTTTTTATTTTGGTTACTTTTCATGTCTTTCAAGTTGGCTTTGAAGATTATGGACCAGACTGCGATAGCATGAGGATAACAGCATTCTTGGATATTCCTGGGCAGGATAATTTAACTCCACTGGCTCGTCTAGAGAAATATGCCTTCAGTGACAATGTATTTAACAGGTAAGGGCACAGCAGGCACACTTGATGGTACCTGAGTCTGGGTGCACTGTGGATGTTAAGGTGTCGTGGTGTCTTTCATGAGTCTCCCAAACACATGCCTGATGTTATTTCTATTTSAACAACTTCCATAATACTTCCATGAAAAGATGTTTTTCATTCTTGGCTATCTAAGTAAGATCTCTCAATTCCATCTTTGTTTTGTTGATATGTAGAATGTTCAGAGAAGAGTYTGATCTTTTGTGTCATTTACATTTGATAAGTTCCCCTTGAATCCCATCTATGTGTCATTGGCTGGATAT